TGTCTCTAGGCTAAAGATATAGTACATCGTGGTTCGCATTTGCAAAATATTAGTTATTTATAAAGTATATATCGTGTATATTAAATATATATTAGAAACCTATCAAAAAAAGTGTCGCAACCGATGTGTCCACGACTGTACGCATATCAAGTGCGCGTTCGGCAGCACACACAATGAATGCGTATTCGGCAGTACAAATATGCAGTGAGTGCGCGTTTAACAATAATACGCATAGTGTAATTAATAATAAGTGCGCGTTCGGCAGCATGGCACGTATATAGTAAGTGCGCGCGTTCGGCCAAAGCCCAATCGAGACGCACCGAATTCTCATCGAGCCTACATCCGTCAGTCAGAGCACAAAGTCTGCAAGGTCATCGAGACAGAGACGGAGATTGATTGCGGTTCGTCGAAGGATAAGCGAGATCCGAGGAAGGACGATCGTGAGCTGAGTACAACGTACGATAGGTAAGTGCCAATTAATAATATAATTATAATTAATAATTAGAGTGTTAAATTTCTCGCGCCCATATAAACAACCACTTGCCGGGGCTCGCGTTCGTGTTTGTTAATTAAAAACAAGATTGTTAAATTACTCACGCCTATATAAACGACCACGTGCCGGTTTTGCTAACGTCTTTGATAAATAATAATAAGATTGTTAAATTTCTCGCGCCTATCTAAACGACCACGTGTTGGGCTTTCAAACGTCTGTTATAATTAATAATTAGAGTGTTAAATTTCTCGCGCCCGTATAAACGACCACTTGCCGGAGCTCGCGTTCGTATTTTTCCTATCTTAAAATTGCCGTGTTACCTGCGTTGAAGCCTCTTTTCCCCAATGTTTAAAAATTCATATCTTCCAGAAAAATAAAGATATACACTTCTTTCTAGGCTCATCTTAAAGATGAATTATGTGGCTCTTTTTAAAAAATCGTGATTTTATTTAAAAAAATATAAAAAACCTAGGTCAACTCCTACATGGTCATTCTTCGATTTTGACCCAAGAAATTTCTCGGAAAAATTTTTATTGCAGAAATCGAAAAATATAAAAAATTGTCCGAAGTGAAATCAGTCATAGTCATTTTTCAGATCTTTCGATTTTTGGTTCAATAAAATTTTCGAAAAATTTTTATTGCAGAAATCGAAAAATATAAAAAATTGTCCGAAGTGAAATCAGTCATATTCATTTTTCAGATTTTTCGATTTTTGGTTCAATAAAATTTTCGAAAAATTTTTATTGCAGAAATCGAAAAATATAAAAAATTGTCCGAGGTGAAATCAGTCATAGTCATTTTTCAGATTTTTCGATTTTTGGTTCAATAAAATTTTCGAAAAATTTTTATTGCAGAAATCGAAAAATATAAAAAATCGACTTAGGTCAACTCCTACATGGTCATTCTTCGATTTTTGACATGAGAAAGTTTTATAAAAAATTTTTATTGCAGAAATCGAAAAATATAAAAAATCGACCTGTTGGTGTGGTGGTGAATGGTGGTGGTGGGTGGTGGTGGTGGGTGGTGGTGGTGGGTAGTGGTGCTGGGTGATGGTGGTGGATGTTGGTAAGTCAAAAAAAAATTGGTTAATTGGTTTTCTCGCTGCGCTTACTTCGCGTAAGCGGCTGTGACATTGCATTTTGACAGTTGTGTGTATTGACGTAAATTATTTAATTGTAATTTATTTTAAAATTGCCGTGTTACTTGCGTTGAAGCCTCTTTTCCCCAATGTTTAAAAATTCATATCTGCCAGAAAAATAAAGATATAGACTTCTTTCTGCAGGGCTCATCTTAAAGATGAATTATGTATTTTAGCTATTTTTTTTTAAATTGTGAAATTGCGTGACTTTTACGAATTTTCTGATAATGGTTGCTGATACATTAGTGTTCCTAAATTATACCGATACGATATAAGAATTCTTATGCTGGTTAGGTTAGGTATAATATGTATCTTTTATTAAAATCTTAGACAAATTTTTGTTAGAATGCCATTTATTTAAGACTTTGACTATATATTCAAATAATTCACATATTTTATTATAGTAACACCAAATAAAATTGATATAAAAATATCAACGGATAAAAACAATTAATTCTAAACAATAGCAATAAACATCTATGAAATTTAACTAACTAATTTTATAATATTATTAATGTTTTAAGTTAAAAAAATGTAATATATTTTTTGTTTAATAATTTTTTTAACTTATGACTGAAGAAAAAATGTTTAGAATTTTTTTCTTAATTTTATTATTTTTGTTAATTATAATATCGCTCTTTCTATTTAAAAAATTTGTATCTATTCTTCCTAAATCCGCTTATAATAAATATATATAAATTTGTTATCTTTGCCCAAAAAGAAATGATGAATTTGTATACGAACGAATTAATATACGATCTGCATGCTTTGTAAAATGTAACAGTGTATGTACAGTGACGTAAAATATTTTTACATCATTAGTTCATTAAATTTCTACTAAAAATTTAAAAGTAAGCATTAATATATTGCTAATAATTTTACTGAATTTATAATCATTAAATGTACGCGGACCTTAAAATCCTTATTTATAACAATAAAATATTTATTCGCGAATAAAGAAAGTTTGACATGAATGTAAATAAGATTTTTCTTTTCTTATATTTATACGATATCGGAAATTAAACTTGCACTACAATGAAATGGTGTCGCTTAAATATAGTTACAAAAATAATTTTTTTGTTTCTTTAATTCATACCTGGCGCGCAGGCAAACGGTAGGCAGGTAACCGTAGTCACCAGGTAACTCACACATCCATACTCGAGTGCAGTGTAGGAGAGGGGCCGAGGCAGGTTGAGCGTGGTGGCGGCGTTCTCCGCCGTCGTCGCGGCATCGGGCATCGGCTTGCAGTCTCGTTCGGCGGGCGTTCGTCGTCGGTCGAAGCTGGTGCGCGCGCGGGTGCGAAGGTAAAGAGTGCAGATCAGAAAAAAGAGCCTCCACCTTGGAGCGGGAAGTTTTTTTTTTTTTCACGGCGTGCGAAAAGTGCGAGCGGGAAAAATACAGGCAAAAGGATTAGGAGCAGGATGTTGAGTGCGTGAAAGGACGAGAAGGAGGAGCCGAAAAAAGATTCGTGGAGTCGGAAAATGCGGGCGCGTCACGTCGTGGCAGGTGAGTCAGGTCCCCCCCTGTACGTCCGCGGTTGCGGTCGCAGTCGCCATCGCTCCGTGCGAGCGTCGCGGGCCTCGACGGCGTCCAAACATGAAACCTTAGCGAAGAGGCACGAAATCATTTCGATCTGCATCGATCCGTGATCCTCAAATCCCAAAATGTTAAATTCTTCATCGAGAAACTAACGAATCAAGATGTATAAAAATTCATCAAATTGTGATTTATAGTGGATCCTGAATATAAACGTGAAAGCGATCTAGGACTTACGAGAGATCTTGAATCGAAGATAGAGTTATAGTGAATCAAGATAAATCGATATATATTATTACTGAAGAATCTCTATGGATATATTAGTTTGAGTACGTTTATGCAAAAAAATTTTCCCCATTAGCGAAAATTTTTTAGTAAAATTTTTCTTTATGAACTTTTAAGTAACAAAATAAAAAATCGTTTTAAGTTAAAAATATCAGTATTGAGGGCTATGCGATCGTTTTGCCAAGTGAATAGATTTGGGAATAAGGGACAATGACAGGTGGAAAAATTCACCCTCGAAATATTCTGTACCTAACCGTCTACCTGAGGTACTGTTATGAAAAAAGCATGTCGTTATACGCTCCAAGAGAATCTGGTATTTCGACTGTATTCAACAAAGTAACTTCAATCGACATTAATAACGATAGTTTATCGCATTGCAAATACGATAATAATTGAAAATAATAGAAAAATGCCAAAGATAAAATATCCGGAAAAATATAGATATGAAACAAGTATTTGTCTAAGGAAATAAAAAAATCAAAGCGTGAAAAATACAGAAAAAAGATTATAGAATTAAAGACTTGAACAAAACATAAAAAATTAAGAGAGGATTGATATAAAAATGTAATAGATACAAAAATAAAATTTTACTCCTTGTGAATTAGGTATTTTACTGTTTTGCGCATTTGTTCGACTAGCTTTATATATATATATATATATATATATATATATATATATGTATGTATATATATATGTATATATGTATATATATATGATATACCATTTGGATCCCTATAATGTTCTCTGTGAGTATGCGATAACGAGACAGAGCACGCTGAAATCTATTGAAATCTCCCGCAAGTGAGTTCAATACCAGATGCCAGAACAAGGAAAACTCTCCCTTCATAAATTGAATTTTTATTATACTGAGGCCTCTCTTCAATTGCGTAATGTTAATTTTTATAAAACTACTACATATAAATCTTAAATTTTATTAAAATTCATTGCGAGATATATTTTTTCGATTTTTATTGTTTGAAATTTATTTAATTTTTCACAATACAAAAGCATTTTTTAATCAAATTCTTCGGGCATTGTTGTTTAATAACTCGTTATTTGAAACATGTAAAGGAAATAATTTACATTTGTGTCACAAGGGAATTATAGCAGTGCCAAATGAGAGAATTATAACGTTGCGTGAATAATGGAATTTTCTAACGAGCGCGATAAACCAGTTGGACCTTCTCTTGCGTTGTATCGTACGTGACAATGAAAAATTCCGATTGCACGCGATGCGGTATTAATCGATATCGTTTGGTACAACGAATCTCGTGATGTATTATTCGCAAAAAGTAGAGCGATTCAACAGTCAAAAGCAGAAGTAGTTTAAGTCAGTAAATCACTTCCCAACCTAATCTTTATTTTTTTTAAACAGGTTATTCTACCTAATTCCGTCATTTATATCATTGTATGATAATAATTATTGCATAATATATATTCGATAATGATTGTTATTCTGCTGCAATATATTCGATTATTATTGATTACTTTTTTTTATTATTGATTACTATTATTCGATGATTATTGAACACATGTAATATGATACATATTACTATTGATAAATTTTGAATTATTGCTTAATTATTGAAATATTATGAGAAATGTGAGATTGCACGTGTATATGCGAAGTGTGAGGATAAAAATTTATGGAATCACTAACGATTCCAACTTTAACTAAATTGAAGAAACAAAGTAATTAAGCTCATCGACAATTTATACGCTATCTGATCTTTAGAAAAGTGACGTAGTCGTACCGATAAGAATCTTAATGACATTATTATTGATAGGAGAAGCGAATATCCTTACATTTGGCGTACCTAATTTTTTTTTGTTTCTTATTAGATTTAATTTTAGTATTCTAAACATTTAATCCACGAATTAAAATTATTTCTTCGCGCGTTTTATGATTTAATATCTCAAATCTTAAATTACATATAGTTTTTTTTTTACAAATATTAAATATGTTCTTAATTTACATTTGTAAAAGAAATGTAAATTCTCGAGGAATTTCCATGAAATTCGTTAGAATTTTTTATTTTAATAGGAATGCTGTTCTGAAAGAAACAAATACAGGTACACTATGCTAGGTTTCAATGCTCGGAATGCCTTATACCTGACAATTTTTTCGTGCCGTCGACAATGGAACGGCTATTTTCTTCAGTTAGAACTTCCATTTACAGATTAGAAGAAAAAGGAAGAATGTCCTTTTTCTGTAATAGATAAAATTTTTGCGGAGGCACGCGATTGTAAATGAGACGTTTTTCTCATTCTGGGAAGAATAAAAGTGGTCCGTGGAATAATTCATAGGTTCTCTGGTTATCTCCCTGTGAGCGAGCTTCCGCTTTTGTGCGCACCTTTCCGGTCACGTAAAAGCGCGCATTGACCGCGCAGGAGGAGGCGCTCTTTCGTAACGGTATAAACTTTTACCTCTTCGGGATCACCGGTGTGGATCAGTGACCGACCCGAGAGAGTCACTACGGTGACCCGTGAAATCATCGTTCTTGGACGACAATCATCGGAAAACGAGTATGCTAAATTACAGCAAAGATCAATTATCAACTCTCTTCGTGAGAGAGATAAATTATTTATTGTTTCATTATTATTTCACTGCATTTTGTAATTTTTATCATCCAATTTTGAAAATAGTAACACTTTTTATAATATTTACCTTGTACCGAGTAGATTATTTATATTTATTTAATAATTAACTTTATATTGTAAAAGCTTTCTTGAATTTCGAGAATATAATACATTTTTCTTAATTATTATATTACAAAAATCAAAAATATTATACATTTAATAACGCATTTATAATGTACCTTACGCGAGTGGATCTTTATGTTCTTTGGCTTCTCGTAGCAGACATCGTCCAACTTTCCAAAACTATAAAGGCCCGTCAGGCTCGGGAAAATGTCCTTTGTCCGCTCCATGAAAGATGTTTTAGACCGAGGCGACGACAAACGGCTTATCGGCCGAGGAATTTCTATGCACCTCGCGATCATGTCGTAGCTGAGCACTCTTTTCGTATGGAAATACGAAAGCTGACGTACGTTTAGATAAGCGACCACCTGTATAAAAAGTATCATCTCTGTGAGTCATCCCAATTTTTTGAACAATGTCGAGAAACTTATTGGAGCGAAGCAATATACTGCAGTTGATATCATTACGATTTGAAACATATAACTGCTAAATATTTACATAACAATATTGACGCATATCTATCTTGCCTAGAACATGTCCTAAGTATCGTCACTTAAATTAAAGAGTAAACGAACTTTTAATTACAGCATTATCGAATATAGATTATTTTTATTAATAATAATAATAATATAAATACATTTTCTAAATATATCTTTTAATGTAAATTATTTTCTATTAAGCAGTTGGTCGAGATATTAATTATATTTTTCTTTAAAGAACAAAAAATATAAAAAATACAATACTAAAATTTTTTGAAAATTCTAAAAGTATAATATTAATTATTAACTAATAAAAAAGTATTCTTTACATTTTCTTAATCGTAAGCTCACATTTTGTTATTGCATTTTAATTTAGTTCCTTTTTTGTACTGTAGAATAATTTTGTAATGTAAAATAATTTTATTACTAAGAATTTTATATGTTTTACAGATTCTTTGATACTTATATAAGGAAAAATTCTCCAAGCTTTTAAGATATTCAAAACTTTCAAGAACTTTCTGTTTTAAATGATATTTGAAGTAATTTCAAACTTTATAAGATACTGAATAGCAAACTTTCGAAAGAGGGCATCGAACGACCATTATTAGTCGTAGATGAAGTTACTAGGCATATTGTTGTACGCGACATGATATTGATAGCCATGATAGAAGAGGTCGATAGTTTCACGAACAGACATCGCGTCGTTTCCTCTCTGAAAAAGCATTTAACAGAACGTCATCTCGCGCGAGAGCGGAGGCGTGTACGCGTATGTGACGCAATTGTTCCACGTGTCGCCTGTCAATTTATATCGAGCACGCCAGCACTCGACGCGACGACGAGGCATCGCGAATAATTTCGTGGATAATTCGCTGCGGGCGCAAAATATTTCGAGTGTATTAAACTCGTTTCTGCCGCGGGCGTACTTGTCGCTCTATGTTTTTATTGCATTTCACACGTTTTTAAGAGGACCTTGCGGACAACGAGATGAGAGCTCTGAAAGCTTTTTACACGAGTTTGTATCATTCACGTCCGATAGAGAAACTTGATACGATTGATACGATAAAATATTTGATGTAGAATTTTTTTTTTCAATATGATACTATTGCAGCTTTTTTATAATAATTTAATAGTTATATGCAACATAATCTAATATAGGATAAAAGTATTTTCTTGAGCGATATTCTTCTATTGACAAACAAGTCAATGAATAATTTTGGAATTATTTAGATAAATTCTTTTTCCCTGTATATGATATGTATATGTATATATTTTCTCCTTTTATATACATACATTTCTTTAATTATGTTTACATTATTTTTTAATTTGTTGATACAGTAAACATCGAAAAATTTGAATAACTCAGATTTCTATAAAAGAAAAAAGGAGAATGTTTCTATTCGACTGATCGCGAAAGCGCGCTCGTGGGATGTCGCAGCGGAAAAACGCAGCGAATCGAACGAAAGTTGCATCCGCACGAGTGTGCACGATACCAGCGTTAAATTACAG